CCTGCCGTGAGCGAGGCGCCAGCCCGCACACCAGCCCCCTCGGTGTTCCGAGGGAAGAGGCGCCACAGGCCGCGCCAGCTTCTGCCGCTCGCCGTCCCAGGTGGGGAGGCGTCTCTGACCTCACGCAGGGGTCCAGGCCAAAGAGCAGGAGAGCCTCGGACACAACGGCACAGACACGTAAAGTCTCTGTGTGGCAGAAGACGCTGTCGGGACGACCATCTCCACGCGTCTGACCCATCGTTAAGGGGAATGAGACACAACCCAGGGGAGGGCGGAGGGGAGGGCCGACGCTGTCCGTCCGCGGAAACGGGAGTTTGCCGGCACCACAGAGAGGAACTGTGCCAGACCCAACTGTCGGCCGGAGACACACAGACCGACGGAGAAGGGCTTCTTGCCTCAGCACTCTGGCAAACATTTAGCCCGTCCCTGGTCTGCTGAGGACAGAGGCGGCGGGAGAACTCTGCTGGCAGGCGCACGCGCCGCGGCCAGCACGGCAATCCCGCGCGTGCTGCTGTCCCTGACGTGCTGACAGGTGACAAAGGGAAGTTGCAGCACCTGCGTGGTGAGATTAAATTTTTTACGTGAAAAAACGTTTTTCTGTTATCTCTAATGTCTTTTTTATACATCTTTTTCTCTCTACATAAGCCTATTTCCTTCAGTCTCCATACACACTTATATTCCTCTACACTGTTCTATGTACACAGCAGAAGAGTATAGAATGATACACAGTAAACTCTCAAGAGTGTCCCCAGGGAGTAATAATTATGGAAGAAAAGGGAGCCATTTTTATTTTTACTTTATACAATGGTAAGTTCTTTGAATTCTTTGTTCATGACACACGTGTATAGCTTTGATAAATGTAACAGTGAAAGCAGTAGTCCTCCAAAGGTGGCCCTCATTCCTGGAAACAGAAGCACGTGTCCAGGGCAAGGAGCACAACCCGCCGGCCGAGCTGCTCTGCGATCGCCCGCGCTGCCCCCCGGAGGAACGCAGGGAGGGCTCCCGTGAGCGAGGAGCGCAGCAGACTCAGGGGAAGAGGACTCGGCAAAGGCCAGTGCTGGCTGATTTTCACGGCTGTGAGTGGGGGGCTGCAGGGCCGAGACTGGTGATGCTGACAGCCACCCGTCACCCAAGGGCGGCCGGGAGTCCAGAGAGGGGGGTTTCTCTGATGGTCAACACCAGCAGGCGGCCGGGGGATGTGTCCCAGTTCGTGGCATGGGCTCAGCTAGAACCTGGTTGAACACTATGGCTCTCCCCGTCCCTTCCCTCCACCCTCTGTGCCTGCCGGTCAAGGAACAGGGTACATCTAACCTCTAGCCTCAGGGATGAGTGTCACAGTTGCCCGGAGACAAGCCACCTTTTGGAGCGCCTCTGGTACACAGGAGCGGTGCATGTGACAACAAGTTCACATCGCCCTCGGCACCGGAGGTCTCTCTCCCCAGAGTCTGCCGCGCAGACCACGCATGCCTATGCACGAGGGCTGAAGCGAGCGACAGCAGAAACGGAGTGCAGGACACGCAGTGGTCTCAAGGAAGAGCTGTGAGGACAGGGCAAGGCTGTCGGGTGCAGGCAGCATCCGGCAGTCTCAGAGCTGGCCCAGCTTCCTGCACGCAGAACCGTGAAGCGGCAGTGCCCGTGTGTGGACGTCAGCTCCCCCTCCCTGCCCCTGCACCTCACCCCGGCCCTCCCCTGCCAGAGCAGCTGGTCCGTGAGCACAGACCACTAAGAAAATTCTTGAAATATGTCCACGGATCCCAGTGAGGAGCTGACTACAGTTTCCTGCTGCCACGTGACCACCCGGGTTCTCATCCTGGAGAGAACGCACGCGGCAGACCCGCCGCATCGCTCCATGGCACCCAGGTGACACAGAAGCCCGGTGAGAGCAGGGTGCTCGCCGCACCCTGTGCCTTTTTGCCCAGACAGGGGCCCCTCGGTGTCCCCCGCGCACAGGGCCTGGGGCTGCCACTCACGTGTGCGTGCTGAAGCCGCTGAGCACAGGGCTTTTAAACATCGGAGCTCAGGTGGCCCGTGTGTGAAAGCAGGAAAGCAGGCCTTTGCTTTTCCTTCACTCCTCCTCCTTCCACCACCCTCTCCTCTCTCCGTCCTTAAGAATAAACCCTTTATCCTGGTCCTGCTCTTCACCAGGATATAGTGAGCTGCTGTCCAGGCCTGAGTGCGACCACGTCCAGACAACATTCAGAGCACTCAGCTCCAATGCGACACACTTTCTAACCATCGCCACGCTGCTGCACCAAACTGAACCGTGACGGCCACAGAGCTTATGGGGGACATGGGACAGGGGCCCTTCACTCCAAAACACACACAGAGGAGGACAGGCGCTTGATAAAAGGACAGCCTTGAACCAAGGTGTCACAGGTTCGATTCCCAGTCAGGGCACATGCCTGGGTTGCAGGCCATGACCCCCAGCAACCGCACAGTGATGTTTCTCTCTCTCTCTCTCCCTCCCTTCCCTCTCTAAAAATAAATAAATAAAATCTTAAAAAAAAAAAAAGACAGCTGCTTCACACGTTACGTGGTTAAGAAGTATATAAAGACCACAGTAGGTAAGGCACTCAGTGCAGAACGAGGCCCGAGGTTGGCTCAGGAAGGCTGCAGATTGCGAGCTGTTGAGAGGTGGCATGCGAGGGTCCCCTGGGGGGAAGAGTGTGCCACCAGACGTGGACAGCTGTGTCTCCTCACACACGTGGTGGCAGGGTGGCTGGCGGGAGTCTGAGGCCTGTGGGTGCTCGGTGCTCCTACACGGCCGGATTGGCTGGGGGCGGGCCCTGGGGAAACCATTCCCCCAGGGTTTGCTGCAGCAAAACTGCGCAGAAGCGAACGGGGCACTCTTGTTGTGCCCTAACCCTTCCCTGGTACATGAATCGCGTTGAACTCTCATCTTCAATACAAGCATATGGCAGGACTGATGGACTGAATCTGGAGAGTAAAAAGCTAATAGTCAGATGCCAGTTACACGATGCCATGAAGGTAGCAATAAGGTTAGTATTACTGAGCAGAGAGTACACAGCTCGGGTAAATCTGGGCCTCCTTATTCCCACTCTCAGGAACATCTCAACATAGCAACAAGTTCAAGTGAAATGCAAACTGGGTCATGAGTTCGAAACACACCGTCAGTCCCAAGCAAAGCTTCTGAGCTCCAGAAAGAAGTCGTTGCACTGGGAAGTCCTTCTGGAAAGACTTCACCCCCCAGTTTATCCCTCACACCCCCTACCATGCAGCAGACGTACAAATCTCAGCCCTTCCCTTCTCCACCCCCCCCGCCCCGCCCCCCGCAGCCTGAAAGACAGGCAGTACGGCCACACTGCACCGTGTGTTCCGCTCGAACACCTGCCTGCCTGTGCTCCTCCTGCCCGTCACTTCAGCCTCTGCTTCCAGAAAGCCTCCTGCACCCTCGGCCTCAGTGAGCTGATCTCCTGGGACTCACTCCATCCCGAGCTGTCCTTGAGGCCTTTTGCGGGGAATGCCTCCTTAAGATTTAAGCCTCACCACAACCCTGTGATTAGATTCTAGACTTCGCTTCCTTTTGCAAGACCATGCCCAGGGCCACCTGTGCCCTGAATCACTGGGGCCAGGGCTGGAACTCGAGCACTCTGGTTTAGAAATTGAGCCCGTAACTGCTGTGGTTAGTGTCTTCAAGGAGACGCGCACTCTCTAGGCAGCCGAGGGAGCTGTGCGAGGAAGATGCGGGCGGGGGTGGGTGCCCGGCGGGCGCTAGGGAACCTGAGTCCCTGCACATTCCAGAGCTTTACACGGGGCCTCCCTACGGGACCTCAGGCCACAGGGAGGGCTTCTCGCTCGAGCAGTGGGGTCTTATCTCCTCTCTAGGGCCAGCCGAACCTCCCGAATAGACGTTCTACCATCAAAAGATTACAGTCAACTCTTAAAGCAACTCAAGTCCACACTCCAAGCTGTGCTGGCTACATAACATTCTAGAACAAAGGACGGGGCACACAGGTCACGAGACAGAGGAGTGAGGAAAGGCTCGAGTCAGGAGCTCGGTTTGTAAGACCCAACTGGCTGCAGCTACAGCAGCCTGTGCAGCTTCCTCAAATGTCACGAGTGGTGGGGACAGGAGCCACAGTGAGAGGAGCGTGAGAGAAACACTCCTGGACCTGGGGGCTCTCGCTAACCGCCACCCGGTCACAGTTAGAAATGTGTTGTCATACCCAGAGGAAATGGTATCTGACAGAAAGAAGCAACACTACGCAAAGAGAAAAAAAGAATTGCGAATGGGTGTTTTTAGTTTTGCTCGCTGAGAAAACAAATTCCGGTCCGGCAGGGAGCGCCGGCCCTTCCCGCTCTCTGGGCAGAAGCGCGCACAGAAGAGATGGACACTGGGGGGCGTTCTTCAGAGGCAGGCAGTGGGACCCCTTGACTGCGTTCCTGTGCGGCCCCGGAGAACCGCTGACTCCGAGTACGAGTCACACTGTCACATAACGTGCTAGGAGCCACGGTGAATGCTGCTTGAAGATGCTCTGGGGAACAGCCGGGGGCAAATTCTGCTCTAAACCCTTGAACCTGATTAAGAACCTAAGATATTCTTGCTAACTTGGAAAATACCCCTGATATTTAAAATTTCCTAAAAGGTAGCTCTCCTCCTACCTTTTGGATGGAATACTAGGTGATATCAGTCAAACGGCATCGTTATTACCATAAGAAAAAGTCCTGTGAGAAAGCACATGTGGCCACCTTAGTCATTATTGAAGTGTCCTTATGACTGTCAGAGGGAGCAGGTGAGAGGCTAGGGGAGGCGGCGAGAGCGAGCGCGTCAAGTGTTTTTATTTACTCCTTTGAAGTCCCGCAGCACCTACTGTTTACCAGGCGCCCCCCCGAGTCACACCGAAGGCTGGAATCCACCGAGAGCCTCCCTTTTCCTGTCTGAGCTGCAGAGGGAGCGCGTCCGTGGAGCCGGTGCATCCCTGCCCCCACGCGCCGGCGCACGCACACCTAGCCAGTGGAAAAGAAAAAGGGTTACTCACCTTCATCCACTCGACGAAGATTTCCAGGCGGCGATGGGAGGGCGTTAGCTCTCCTGAAGGATGAATAAATACGCAGCCCTGCTGGCAGCCTGCTCACAGTCAGGTCGAGGTGGAAGGGCAGCCCGAGGTCTGGCTCTCCCGGCGCCTGCGAGACCCCGTCCCGGCACCATGCACGGCATAGCCATCTGCCTGATGGTCCTCTTCTCAGGGACAGTGGCCCGCAGGCCTGGCCTGCAGGGGCAGGATCGCCTCTTGGTCAGGCTGCGCCAACTTATTGATGTTGTTGATCAGCTGAAAAATTACGTGAATGACTTGGTAAGGCCATCCTTGTCAAAACACAGTCTAGAAGATATGCTTCCATGAATGTGAAAGAAGCTTTTTGACTTAAAATAACTCAGAACTAATTTTCTTTTGCTCTAGGACCCTGAATTTCTGCCAGCTCCAGAAGATGTGAAGGTAAGACCAGTTGAATTTATTTGTGAAGATATATTTGATGCAAGTTTAAAATCCCATTAAGAGTGGCATTAAGATGAGTGTTTAGGAATATACTTACTTTCAATGAATCTGGAGGTTTAATAATTGAGAAAATAGTTCTTTCTATTTTGGTGAATTATTAATTTACCAACCAAGCCAACCAATAAAATGCTATGTACCTTATAAGATGTATTTTTAACCCCAAATGTGTCTAAGAGCACACTCATGCAGTCCTGGCGAGACGGGTAACGGGCTGGAAGACGAGCCTGGACTGGGGGCAGTTCCTGAACAACGCCCCACTACTGAGCCTGTAAGAGCCCCTGTGCACGCGAGTTCCAGAGCCCTCTGGGAGCCCTGCCAAGAGATCCAGACCTGCACCATAAGGAGTAGAACTCACCCTTTAATAACTAGGGAGGAAGGGAGAGAGAGAGAGAAAGGGAAAGGAAGGGAGGGAGGGAAGGAAGGAGGGAGGGAGGAGAAAAAGGAAGACTGGATCAGAGAGAGAGAGAGAGAGATAGGGAAAGGAAGAGAGGGAGGAAGGGAGGAAGGGAAGGAGGGAGGGAGGGAGGAGAAAAAGGAAGACGGATCAGAGATAGAGAGAGAAAGGGAAAGGAAGGGAGGGAAGGAAGGAAGGAGGGAGGGAGGAGAAAAAGGAAGCCAGGAGGGGCACGGGGTGTGCACGGGAAGGCTGTCCTGGGGCCCGGGGCCCCACGTACTGGCCTGGATGAGGCAGTCCTGGGGCCTCCGGTGAGGTCTTTGAAAGGACCACTTCCAGCAACTCACCCCATCCTCTTCAGCCATCTCAGTCCACTCGGCCCGGGGGGGAAGAGGCCTAGCATTCGAGCCCTGCGTGTCCTTACTTAGTCTTCAGGCGTGTTACCCTGAGGATACAAACGCAATTGGGGAAATGTTTCGTTGTCACAGACTTTCAACTGCAGAAATTAGAGTAACTCCGCAAGTGCTACCAGTAATTAGGACGTTACAGAGGGGAGATTTATGAGGATGCATCGCAAAGAAAACAATTACTGTAAATGACTATGTGTAAAAGTGTAGAAAGTGAGTGAGTCACGACGATTGCTTTCCTGCAAAATTCTCTCTCTGGCTCTGAACCTAACCACTCTCGTTTACTGGAGCCTTTTCTAACAAGCAGTGTCTAAAATGAAAGTAGCACATTCAGTTTATTGGAAAGGCTTTTCTAATAAGTGAGAATATGTCTTAATCAACGTCCTAATTATCAAAACAGAACATTTTTCAGCATCTCCTGCCCTTTGTTTAACTGCTGTGGTTAGAGTTCTTTCTGGAGTTTCGAGATGCAGTCTGTAACTAGCAAAGTGAGAAATAAGAAAGACGTGCTACTTTCTAGCTTGAGTTGGCCTAGTGGGTACTTTCTCTGTACGCTTTGTTAAAGAGAGCTATTTCTTATCTCGCATCGCAACATGAGGACTTTGTCTCTGTGACACTGTATCCGTGAGGTGATCTGACCGAGCGGTCTGGCTGTGATGCCGGTGAGTGATGGTCTGACTAAGATTGTTAAGCTACGCTGGCAGGCAAGTCAGGAAGGAAGAAAACAGTTCAAGGCCACTGTAGTGTTATGTTAAGTTTTGCAGGACTAGCATTGAAGCAGGGTTTATAAGAGACTTAAAAAATTAAAAAGTTTAATGAAAATAAATTCATGTAAATTTTGCAGGCAAATATTGATATGTAGTCATTATGTAAGACCTCTAATTGGTCTCAGAGGTGTCTTTCTTTCTCTTTCTAACCATAACCAGGGGTCCTGAACTGGTGGTCATTTTGCACCCCTGCCCCGCCCCAAACATCTGTCAGTGTCTGGAGAGATATCTGGCTTTCACAGCTGTGTGTGGGGGGTTGTGGGTGGGGAGGGGTTCTATTGGTATCTCATAGGCAGGGGCCAAGGATGCTACTAAACGTTCTAGAAGGCACAGCCCCAGCAGCAAAGAGACAGACCCAGCCCCAAGTGTCAGCAGTGCCACGGTGGAGATGCCCTGATTTAAACCCAGTTTGTCTGTGGGACAAAGGTTATTTTGTTCAATTAGCAAGACTTCCCGGGGTGAATGGGCAGAGCTTTCTTTAGGGAAAAAAAGTAAGTAGGTTAAAAATAGGCTGTAAGAAGGCAAATATTTTCAACTAGTCGACAGTAAAATGACAAAGCCTTGTGCACCCCCTTGCCTGACCACTCTTGGGCTGGGGACAGGGTGCGGGCTACTCTGGCTTTTGACCTACATTGCTCCTCCCTCTGTATAGCAGAACTAGCAAAGGACAGCTGAGTCCCTGTCTTAAAGGAGGAGGGAACCAAGCCTTGCTACACCCAGGCAGAGCCCAGGAAAGCCATGCTTCTGTCCCCAGGTGGCAAAGCCACACAAGAATTTGGGGTCATCTGGGAAACCCCACAAGCAGCAGGGCCACCGGGACAGGTTCTTCTCTCCACTCCCCTTCACGGCCACATTTACTGCAGCGAGTACACCCTCGATGCAGCCGGCGCAGCCCCGCTGCAGCTGGCACACCCTCACTGCAACGAGCGGGCCACTCCTCCACCCCTTTTCCTCCGGGGCTGCCTTTGATGAGCATCTGGAGTCAAATCCAGTAGTTCTGTGTCCGGGCCACACCCCGCCAGGGACCGCTCTGCTGCTTGCAGAGAGCACAAAGCCAGACCCAGCGGCCTCTGGACACAGGAAGGCAGGAGCGAGGGCCCAGGCCCATCAGTGTCAGCTGTGGTGTCCAGGCTGGAAGGTGTCGTCACTGGCCTTGACCGCTCCTGGCAATGTCCCAGGGGGCTCGTTGGGCAAGGCCCCTCTCCTTCTTTGGAACCTGACTCTTTCGGCACCCATGTAAATGTTAACTCAGCAAAATGGGTCTCTGTGAGAAATGCTGGTTTCTCAGATCAGCACAGATGAAGCAGTTAGCGTTTTCAGTTTCAGCTGGAAAATTTACCTCTTTAAATATGAATATTATTTTTTCCAGTAAGTTAAGCAGGTTGTGGTCAAAAAGAAGAGAAAAGAAAAAACTTCAACAAACAAGAACATGTGGTTTTCAAGGAAAAAAAAGTGCTATAATTAACAATTATAAATAGTTTCTATTAAATAAGCGTTTTGGCAAACATGGACAGGACCCCACCTCGCCTCCTGAGGGGCAGGCGCCTTTGACACGAGGAAACCAGATAAGGCGCCTCTCGGCTGGGGCCCTGTATGCAAAGCAAGCCCGGCGGGGCTGTGTCTTAAGATGCATGTTATTAATCAACATCCATACTGGCTGAGCATATGGGCTGGAAAATGCAAAGCAGGCCAGATGCGATTTTCTGCTGATTGTCCAGGAGAGACGCAGGGAGTGCTGCTGCGAACGGGACTGGCCGGGCAGCAACCGACAGGCTGAGGTTTCGGGGTGTGTGGCGGCGGCTCCCACACACGGGAGTGAAACGGAGCCGTGCAGCTTTGGGGGTGCGATAGTGTCACAGGCGTGCGCTCGCCAAAGGGAAAAAGAAATGTGGATACAAGGTCTTAGATCAGCATTAAAATGTTTTTGACAGGTCAGTACAAGCTTCGTTCTTCCAACAGGTTTCATTCCCTCTGCAGCGCAATGTCTAGGGTTCTGACTTACCCCCTAGTTGCCAGTTGTCTCACTAAGCCGGGAGGCCCGTTGTGCCTGTCCGCCTGTCCCCTTCTCCGTTCTCTGAGACTACAGCTCACTCACTCCCTTACCGCCCAGGGAACCCAGCAGACTGGCCAGGCAAGTGTCCAGTCTGCTCCTGGGCTGCCTGACCCAGGCAGAATCCTACTGAACCCTCCCTGACCTGGGAGAGCGAGTAGCATTTTAGAAAAGCCAAGTGAGGTTTGCGGCCAGGGTGCTGAGTCCTAGGCGAGACCGCGGCCTCCAGAGGGAGGGGCCCGGCCCCCTCCCCAGACAGGGGCGTTAACTCAGCCGCTACGTTTGCAGACTCCGCACGTTCCCTGAACCTGCACGGGCAACGGGCCAGGGCTTGGGCCTGGCGGGGTGCTGCTCTCAGGGGCTTCTGTGCACGTCGCGGTGCGACGGCGTAACTCGCACGAGCCGCCCCCACCAGCGAGACTTCTGGAGCCTCTCCATCTAGGGAGCGTGTTCGTTCTACAGCCCAGCTCAGTCTCCCCCACACGCACGGGCCCCTGCCCACCGCCCACCCTCAGAGGCGTTGGGGAGGAGGAGGAGCAACGCGGGGCAAGCTCCCTCCTCCTCTGCAGCCCGGAGGCCCAGCGGGACGGAAGCTGACGGTCCTCATGCGTCTGCCGAAACGAGCGCGACCCCAGACACTGTCACACAAGTGGAAAAGAGCGCTGGGAAGGACATTCTTCCTTTCCAGATAACTTCCATTCACCCGTCTACAAATTATCTTTCTTTCAGAGACACTGTGAGCGACCAGCATTTTCCTGTTTTCAGAAGGTCCAGCTGAAGTCGGCACACGCGGGAGACAACGAGCAGATAATTGGCCTGTTAACAAAACAGCTGACACGGACACTGCCCCCCACCAGCTCGGGGAGAAGACAGAAACAGAGACAAGTAAGATGGGCCTTGGAGGCCTCCTTTATGTGTAGTGGTTAAGTGTATCCCACAGACACACACACACACTCACACTCCTCAGAAGGAAAGGAGCTGAGCATGTCCTCGATCCAGCATCAAAGACACGTGGAACGGTGGTGCTGGCGCTGAGCCAAGAAGTACCCAGTTAGGCACTGTCCCCTGCCAGCTGGGAATGCGGCCCTGAAGAGGCTAAGGGGTGTGGACCCTGCAAACAGTAAGAGCCAGAACTTGCAGCTCCTAGCTCTCAGTCCCGTGCGCACACTGCCACGGCAGACCGGCCTTTCGGGTGTGAAATGCCACGCGGCGGCCTGCTGGGGGGCTCTCCGCAGGACTAGGGGTACAGTACACAACCAAGACATACTTTCAACAAAAGAAATATAAACAAACAATTCACACATGGAAAATTGTTCACTCTCCCTGTAATTGAATACATGGAAATTAAAACAAGGAAATTCTATTTTTTCCAGTAGCAAATTTTAAGGTCCAATAATGGTAAGAATGCTCTGTGTGAATACAAGTAACTTTTTAATGTACATCAAAAACTTTAAAAATTTTCATCCCTCTAATTTAGTAATTCTACTTCTAGAAATTTATCCAATAAAATAAACAAGGATGTATATGAAAAACTATTCAGAGATGTTCTTTGAAGCATTGGCTAAATTAGTGATATATTAGAGGCAGTATGTGTCCAAAAATAGTAACAGTTCAGTCCTGTGTTGGAATATGAAGCTACCACCATGTATCATGTTTTTTGACGAATATTTAACACACAGGAAATGTCTGTGATATATTAAGTGTAAAAAAAAGCAAATCACCGATCAGTGTAAATAACATAAATGCAAAGAAAAAAAATCCTGGGAGGACGCATCTCCAGACACCGCTGCGGTCCCCTCTGAACAGTTCTATGCATTTCTCAGTTTTCTCTGTGAACGTGATTTATGTCTGTACTCTGAAAAAACACATTCTCGATGAATGCTTTATTCAACAGGAAGCAAGTTTTAAAGAAGAATGTTACTTTTTCATTGATTTCTAGGTGTGCCCTTCATGTGATTCCTATGAGAAAAAACCGCCCAAAGAGTTCCTAGAAAGACTGAAGTCGCTCATCCAAAAGGTACCCCCTAAGTTCCCCTGGCCCCCCGCCCCCGCCCCCGCCCGGCTGTGCCCCGTGCCGGGCTGCCTGCTCACAGTCTGCTGTCTCCACAGATGATCCACCAGCACCTCTCCTAGAGCCCGGGAGGGGGAGGTTCCCGAGGACCCGCGGCAGCTGGACACTATGGGACACGCTCTACCACGGCAGTGAGACGCACTTCTGGCACTCCACACGCAGGGACACGACACACCAGTGAGCGGAGGGAAACTCAGACCAGGTTCAAAGTCGGGATTGTTTCCCCCTCGTCACTGTGTCATATTTCAGTTCAATCCACGTGGTCTGTTTGTCCAACTTGAAAAAACCGCCTACTCATTAGAATCTGGTTTCCTATGTTATGGATTTCCATGACTTCTAAAATTTGTGCTTACTGGCCCAACTATCACATTTCTTGGTTAGGCAGAGGCTTAACATTTTTAACCAAAAATACAATTTGGGAATTTATTGATCTTCTATTAACTTTGATCGTGTTTACCACAAGAATGCAGCCTCTTATAATCATAACCTAAAAGTTATACACCTTCACTCAAGCTGAAATAGATAGAAGCGTGGCGTCAGAATGGACAGTCGAAGTCTTCAGTTCTCTAATGAAATGAAAACGGAGTGTTTAGAAACTTGCACCTGAAGAGTTTACTTTTTATCACGGAATGTCTAACATATAAATGTATAATTTATTTATGTGCCAGGGGGTCTCTTTGCCAGATGGCTACACAAAAAGTCTTACTTCCTTATTGGGATATATCAACTATTTAAATAGCGTAGCTATGAATGTATTTATGAAATGGACTCTCTTCGTCTGCTCTGTCAGCGGGCTCAGCGGTGCAGCTCCAGCCCGGGCCCCCGATAAGCTACCACTGTGCTGGCGGGCAGCAGTGCCTGCCTGAGGGCTGGCGGCAGCTCTCCCCGAGACGGCCGGGCCGGCTACAGGGGTCAGAGCTGCCGGCTCCAAACGCCCAAGGCCGTCTCCCTTCCTCTTCTTTCTTCTTGCAAAAATGACAGAAAGTTGGTGTTTGCGCGCTCTACCTGAGGCCGATTCCGTCCCCAGCGGACAAGCGAAGGCAGGACGCAAGCGGGGAGGCCCGGGCTCCCGCCCGCCTGCACGAAGCGCAGACGTGGGGCCGGCGTGCCCGTCGCCCAGCCTCGGCGGTACAAACAGGCAACTGCTCTGACTGCCACTTCATATCGGTCCCACGGCTTCCTCGAGTGGGCAGTCAGACACTCCAGAAAGGGGAAATCTTTGCTAGAACATCATTTGAGAATAGGTGATTCTTATGAGAATAAAACCGCCCAAAGAATTCCTAGAAAGACTGAAGTCACTCATCCAAAAGGCTGAGTGCACAAGCAGATGTACAGGCCATGCTTTGTGCTCTGAGAAGAAAAAGGATCTACTTAGACGCATTTTAGAAACAAGTATTTTTGTAGTTCTAGAAGATATGCTAGGGACCAACTGTGTCATTAAATCTCCATGAGATGTTTTATCAGCAGCAACAAGGCACTCTATTTTGGAACCAAAGATGCTCTGGCAGAGGAGTCGGGCAGGCAGGTGCGCGACGGTGCCGCTGCCCACGGAGGGCTGCCGCCGGGCGGCGGGGGAAGCTGCAGGGCAGGCCCGGGGCTGACTCGGCGTGAGGGAGCCTTTGTTTCTTGTTGCCGGCTTCCTAGCTGTTGACTTCTTTGACACTGTGATTTTATATTTAAAATAATATATTTATTTTGGTATGTTTACTGTTAATAAATCTCTGTTGTAATCCGTTTGACCAGAGATGTTACCTTCAAAGTAAAAGTAGTTTAGTGGGGTGTTCACTCAGAGCCTCCACTAACCCGAGTTCAAAGCCTTGGGTGAAGGGGCTCGCAGCACCCCGAGAAAGAGCAACTTTCTCGGGTACACAAGATGAGGAGCGAGACCGGATCGGCTTCCCCCGCTCCGTGTGCAAGGCCAGGCCAGCCCTCGAGAGCCCCGGGAGGCTAACCCGTAGCATTACTGGTCACCTGCAGGCGGTCAAGTAGGACACCTGCAGTCTTGCTGGTCGTAGCACGTGCTTACATTTGAGGGGCTTCTACTTTACCCCTGTAGAGTGAGGCTGTTGGACTTAATATCTAAGGGCTAGTCTGCCTTTTTTTTTTTAAAAAGAGCTTTATGTGTCTCTGAGTTGCTAAAATTCTGGATGTTCCAATAAGAGCATCTGACCACACTTCTGAGTAACAGTTTCTACTAAAATCTGAGGTTCAATCGATCAACATTATTTCAATAGAATCTGTAGCAATACTCACTGTGGGAACAAGGAAAATGTTCCAAAAGAAGGAAGGAAGGAAGGAAGGAGAAGGAAAAGGCTGCTGTAGGTCACGGGAGTTCAGGGAAATGAGTCAGGACTTCTACCATTTTAGCTGAAGGTGTCTCCTTTGGACAATTGCGTAGAACTGTAGCATTATTATCTGTATTATTGCTCTGTTGTATTGACATTTGCATCTGAGAATTTAGTTTCAATATGAACTCTGTATTTTATAACTTAATGATTATTTATTATATATTTGGATTTAAATGTCTGTGTTCATGGCTTCTTATTTAAGACCTGACCGTGTTAAATGCTACCCAGTCAGAACCACTGTCTTCTGTCATTCCCTGGAAACCCTTCATTCACTGTCTCAGCACAAAATAAAAGATGATCCTTAGCTCCTGGAAACTTACTTCTTTGCATGTATATGCTAGAGACCATCTGCTCGCCTTACACACGTCACCGAAATGGAGCTTCCCACTTCCTGCCCTGCCCCTGGGATGCCACGACCTTGGTGGCCCTCCCGAACGTGTGGTCCAGGAGGGATGGAAGGGAGCCTTCCCTATGTCCACTGCTTTTGTGCAAACCTTTCTCCTAGCTTGTCTGTCCCCTGACTTCTCTGGACAACTGTCATCTCACGAACACTCCTCCAGGACCTCTGAGGACTCAGGCACAGCCTCTTCCTTGAATGCACCTTTTGCCCCCGACTGGTGGCCTCAGTGCCCACAGCAAGGACCCTGCCCACACTGTAGCTTCCCAGCACCTCACCTGCCCCAGCCCCACACGCCCCACCTTTCTCTCTACCCCTGGCCCACAGCCGTGACCATGCACCAGACTTCGTCGCCTGGAGCCACTCTGTCTGAAATCTCTCCACAGATAAAACTGTCGCCTGCTAGTCTCTTTGTCCTCACACTGCCTGCTTCTGTGCCACTGGCCCTGAGACCCCCTCAAACAGCCAGTCCCCACTCCCTCCATCTATTAGTTGCCCTTTGTCCCTCACGGAGCCTGGGCCCCTGCCACCCCTCGAACGCGGATGCAACGGCACACATGGTTGCGTTCTTCTCGAGAACCCGCCTACCGGGCTGCTCTGCCTTGGTCCCCTAATCCGGCTTCAGGCACTGGCTCTGGCCACTCCCCTTTGGGGACCCTTTCCATCTACCCCCTTCTGGCTCTCTGGGGTCACTTTCCACTTCACTCTCCGCCCTAAACACTCACCTGCTCCCAATACCTGTTCCCTCGACTCCAGGCCCCTGGGGAGTCGGCCAGGACCTCGCCTCCCGTGGGAGAGAGTTGGGTGTTGAAAGAGTCGTCGACACCTGTCTGCACTCCCTCGTCTCCTGTCCACTCACCAAACCACCACCATCTGCTTTCTGCCATCCCTCATCCTGCTACTGCAGCGTCACAACGGCCCTTTCTCTGTGCCCCAGCTCCCCAGAGCGTCTAAGTCCCCATGTCAGCTGACCTGGCCATGGCCCTCGCTGCCCTTGACTGCCCCACTCTTACCCTCTGACTGTGGAGGACTGCCACGGAAGGCCCGAGGCGTCCCGCAGTCACTGAAGCAAGCGGAGAGGAAACTCTCTGCGACACGGCGTGCAGATGTGCGTCAGTCACACGCATCATCTGACGAGGGTGTGCAGACCGGCCAGTGGTCCCAGCCCTGGCAGGTGTCATGTCACCTGGGGAGCGCGTGACAATATTCCGGGATACTGCGTTCCAATCCAGTCGGGATGTCCCAGGGCCGGGACGATGGTGCTTTCTGAAACGCCACGATGGTGCTTTCTGAAACGCAGGCGGGGCTGGGAAGCACCGAGGGGCCCAAGGCCATGCTGACACCTGTGGGCAGGAGCGGGAGGTGACAGGCAGCTCTCAGCTGTAGGACCATGCACGGACTCTTTCTAAGTCACTCCCTTTCTGCAACAAATGCTCTCCAAAGCCCCGACAACAGAGAGAACGCCCCAAAGATGTGCTTATGCTGTACGACAAGGAGATGATCTGGGAGGTGTTTCAAGTACAATTAGTTATTTGCTTAAAAAGAAAAACTGACTATGGAACAATCATATAATAGAATTCAATATAGCAATCAACAAATGAACAGTAGCTATGTTGAAAAAAAGATGCTAGGTACAAAAGAACACACATTTTATGATCCCATTCATATAAAGTCCCCAAACAGGTAGAGCTAATAGATGGTACAGGGTGCCCCTGAGCTGCACAGGGGTTGGGAGCACCGGCCCCCGCACAGCCCAAAATCCCTGTAGAGCTGTGACTCCCCCAAAATGTAACTATTGATACCCTACTGTTTACCAGAAGCCATACTGATCACATAAAGTCGATTAACACATTTTTGCATGTTATATGTATATATATATAATATGCTGTTTTCTTACAATGAAGTAAATGAGGGGAAAGAAAGTGTTGTTCAGAAACCCACAAGGCAGTGCGAGCACATCTGCAGCACCGCACGCACTCCTCGAGCAGAACCGTGTGCCAACGGGCTCGCACAACCCCACCCACACTGCGCAGGGCCGGCTGCGTCAGGGCACGCAGGGTGGCCTTCCTCGGGGCAGGGGGGGAGATGAGGACAGCGGTTGAGAGAGAAATGAAGGAATGCTCTCTTTTTTGACCCAGAACAAGGTATTTATCGAACTTACGATTTGCACCATTTTCTCTATGTAGGGTATACCTGAATAAGAAGTTGGGAGTAAACGAAAGACAACGTGCTTTAAGGAGTCCTCTGTGGCAGATGACGACACAGGGCTCTCCAAGGAACTCGAAGGTGAGGGTGCGGAGGGAAAACAGCTGCTGGTGGGGGCGGGGTGGGGGGAGTGGGAAGAGGCCGAGGGAGACCCACCGAGTGCGTAAAGGAAGATTCTAGATTTCTAGATTGTGGGGCCTTAGTTAAAAAACACAGCTTTACAATGACCCTCTTAAACTGGCTCTGACCATGTTACCATCTTTCTATTGGGCTGAGAGGTGGTCGATTCAAAGAAAAAAAGTTTGTGCTGCTGTGTGTTTTCTCTATAATCTTAATTCAAGTAATTTCCCCAATCTAACTTACAAAATCACAGAGAAAAAATGAGAGCGAGAGCGAGAGAGCGGGGGAGAGACAGCAAAAGGGAGAACGGGGAAGCTGCTGTCCCTGGTCAGGCTTTCCCAGTAGAATCCGAGGGGAAGGGCCACGACCCCACGCCTGCCCTGCAGCTGTCGCCGCTGGTGCACCCAGACCCCCGCAGGACCGCAGTCCTGGCGGGCCAGAGCCTTCCTTACTGCAGTTTCCTGCAGCAGCTCTCCACCGCGGACTCCCTTTCAGAAGACGCCTCTGAAAGGAGAGGACATGCTGCCCCCTACTGAAACAACGCGTGCTCACACAGACACCCGATCCGACCCGCAGCACCTTGTCGCCCACGCCTGGCCAAGAGCAGATGGGACCAGCCTAAAAGGTCGTCTCAGCTCTTTCAGTCCCACACGTCACTACTGAGGTCATTTCTAACCAGAGGTTGCGAACCAGGAAAGCCATTTCACCTTGCCCACGGCGCACCGGATGGGTGGCACGGATGGGGGTCCGACACCTGCTCCGGGCGGTCAGCCCACGACCGCCTGCTGGCCTGCAGGCCTTCAGCAGGCCGAGCGCCTGCCCAGGCTGCCGGGGCCGTGCCCCCCATCTAGCCAGGCCCTTGTCAGATAGAGGCCCCACCCCAGGGCACTGGTGAAGCCAGAGCTGTGCAGGCTTCCTCAGCGGGGAGACTGCGCCAGGACGCTCACAGGGACCGCGTGGACTCCGGCCCGAGGGGGCTCATGGTGTCCACCTGGGCTGGGTGTAGGGCTGGCTCCAGGCTTTGCTGCTGGGGCCGGAGCTGGGGGTGGTTCCATGCTCTTTGTCTGCCTGGGGACTTGCTCGTGGGCACCTCTCGTCTACAACTGGGGCCTCGGGGAACTGTCCTTTAATATACAGCTTCCTAACAAATAAAACATGTTCCTGGTGGCTGCCACAGAGGAGAGATCTAAACACACCAATGAAATCAGCTTTCACGGCTGCCTCTGGCCCCGGCCCCTCCTTCCCAGAGCTGACCACTGGTGTCTGCATGCCCCAGCTCTGCTCAGTGGCCACTGATGAAGAAACCTTCAGACTGCTTCCAGACTGTTCCAGGAAACAAAGGGGGGGCATTCTCCCAAACTCACTTTGTGGGGCCAGAGTGATCCTGCCACCAGGACCCCTGAGATATCTTCCCAGGAAAGAAAATCATAGGCCGATATCCTTCATAAACATGAGTATAAAAGGCACTTTTAAATTGACCAATTTTATCCAGCAATATATGCAAGTTCATTACACTGTAACCAATTATCGTTCATGCAAAGGATTCAAAGATCGTTTAACATTAAAAAATCAACCCATGTAATACAATGTATTAACAGAGCCAAGAAGAAAACACAAATTATTTTTTCAATGGATGCAGAGTAAGCATTTGATAAAATTTAACACCTCATCATGACTTTTGACCACAATGTCAAAAAAACCTCTGCAAACTAAGAGGAAAACTTCCTTATTCTGATAATTTTAAAAAACCTACTTCTAACTTTGAACTTGACGGGTCCTTTCACCTAAGACCCAGAGTGAGGCAAGGATAGCTATTCTCAGGGTTATCCAAAATGGCTCTGAAGCCCAACCAAGGACAAGGAGGAAACGAAGGACAAAGACAGCATGCATTCTGGAGAAGTGCAGGCAAAACTTTTTGTTTACAGGTGACATGGTTCATTATGTAGAAAACCCCTTGGAAATCTAAAAGCTCTACTAGGGCTAATAAGTAAATTTATTAAGGTCTCAATTCATAACATCAACTCTATATAGACCAGCAGCAAAAACTAGGAAATGAGAAAGGTTAAAACCCGATTCATAATGGCATCAAAGTTATAAAATGCTTAGGAAAATATTTAATAAAAGACATGCAAAACTTCTATAAAACATTGCTGAGACAAATTTTAGATCTCAACAAATGGAGAAGTATATTTATGTTCATGGGTGGGAAGACTGAATATCGCTAAGAGTCAATTTTCCCAAAAATCAATCTATAAATTCAACACAATCTAATCAAATTCACAATCCAAACAGACTTTTGGGGGCAGAAATTGGCAGGTTGATTCGAACATATATGAGAATGCAAAATACCTGGATGAGCTGAAATACCTTGAAGAACACAGCAGACAGTCTCATCTAACCCTAACCCAAGCCTGACATGAAGTTGCGGTAGCTGGGTAGCTGAGACAGGCATAAGGACAGAAGGCAGACTACAGAAACAGCCCAGAGAACCCAGAGAAACAGACACACACAACGCAGACTGAAGAGTGCGTGCCACGTGGCCCCATGCACGAGAAGTTCGAGAACA